AGAACAAATGTACATTACGAAGAAGTTAAGCACGATAGTTGTGCAGTTCACTGCAATGTATGAAACTGTGCACACTCAACAGTTTAAAATAGGCTTAACAGTGTAAAATATGTTCACTTTTAGGCATAAAAGACAAATGAAGTAGAATTACATAAAAAAAAAAAATGAGGTAATCATTTGTTCTCTTTTTCTGTTATAACCTTTCATGCTCCTCCATCTTGCTCGCTGCAATGTGTTTGTGCCTCGTGAGTCATGCATGTGGCATGTCATGCAAAACAATGCCAATTATTGGCTTATTTCTTCTTCTACTCCTCCCCTGGTAAATTACAACATTCACTGGATCATTAATTTGAGCTAAAGAAATAGAGTTGCATTTTGCTTCTTATATATTTACTGTTTACGTTTTCATATTTCTGATGTGTTTTTTTTCCCCATCAGAGGAGTGTCAACAACATTGTCCTTGGTGTCCAACAGTATCAAACAGCTCTTCTGACGTCCTTGAGGGGAAAAATAAAGACCATCCTTGAAAGGCAACCTGACAGCAATGGACCTTTACAACAAGAAGTTCTTTCAACACTGGACAACTTTCAGGATCCCTTTTCCATATGTGCAGCTTCAAACCTACAGGACCGTGTAACACAGATGCATTTCAACCCTGTCACACCTGAGGAGATCATCATTTCCAAGTATGCCTGTAGAGTTAAAAAGGGAGAATCGAGAGTTCTTGGAATCAAAAACAAGTCTTTCTACTACGTTCCTTTGATTGAAAGTTTGAAACAGCTATTATTCAATTCAAGACTATTTGACATGCTCAGTACTGGACCTCAGAGTTGCCCCAACGCCAGTGTTTTGTATGACATTAATGATGGAATTATTTTCAAAACCCACCGACTGTTTTCAAAGAAGAACTCTGCTTTACAATGAGATACTCTATTCTGATGAGATAGAAATGTGTAACCCCCTAGGGTCACGTGCGAGTGTAAATAAACTACTAATGTTTTATTACACCTCAGGCAACATAGACCCTAAGTTTAGATCAAAGTTGGCTTCCATCAGACTTCTCGCAATCGCAAAGTCTAGGGACATAGATAAGTGTGGGGTAGACATAATACTACAGAGAATCAATGAGGACTTGAAGTTACTGTACGATGGTGTTATGATTAACACTGTCAATGGGGAATTTTATTTAAATGGAGCAGTTGTTGCTGTGTGTGGAGACACTCTTGCCCAGCATGAGCTTGCAGGATTTAAGGAAGGAGTTGGTTTTGCGTATAGCAAATGTCGCCATTGTGAGTGTACTTTTGATGAAATGCAAGAAAATTTCAATGAACATAGTTTCACCATACGGACATTGGACGGACACATTAGGCAGTGCATTGAAATAGAAAGGGCAACTACTGAATTTTTGAAATCCTCACTCAAAACAACTTTTGGCATAAATAGACAAAGCAAATTAGTTGATTTCCCAGGTTTTAATCTCATAGAGCAGATGCCACAGGATATTATGCATGTAATTCTTGAAGGAGTGGCACCACTGGAAATTAAGTGTGTTGAAATACCTTGTATTATCTGGAAATTTGGAATTGGACTTGTTTAATTCTGCCATGCAGAATTTTCATTTTTCATCAGTGGACATACGTGACAAGCCTTCACCAATTAGTATTGCTACTTTAGCTTCAAGTGACAACAGACTCAAACAATCCTCTGGACAAATGCTTATATTGATCAAGATTTTGCCATTCTTATTGTACAGTGTTGTAGAGAAAAATCCCTTTATCCAGTTTATTTTGGATTTAATTGAAATTGTTAAAATACTTTTTGCCCCAGTTGTGTCTTTACAAACTGTTTCCAAACTAAAAAAAATGACAAAAACAATTCAGGCAACTATTCCCAGAAAAAAATGCAATCCCAAAGCAACATTACATGCTGCATCTTCCCTCTCAGATTATTGCCCTGGGACCTGTAATACGTCATATGTGCATGAGATTCGAGTCTAAACACAGTTTTTTTACACAATGGTCATCCAAATTAAACTTTAAGAATGTGTGAAAGTCTCTTGTAAACCACAATCAGCTGCTGGAGTGTTGTCAAAGTGAAGCAGGAACTGAACATCCAATATTTGTAAATGAGAAAGAACTAGGTCATGTATCAGAGGTTGCTAATATGGAGCATTTGCAGTCAAAGGCTGTAGATTTTTTGGGGATTGAAGATGCTATACATCATGCCGTTAGAGTAAAGTGGCTTATTTTACATGGAAACAAATACATCTGTGACATGTCTCTTATACTCATTTCAGCAAATGGTTTAAACCCTATCTTTGGACTTGTAAAAAACATTTTTATTGTTAATAGTGTACTTTATTGTTTTGAATACCAGGTGTATGAAACCTTGGGTTTCAACAAAGACTTTCTTGCCTA